TCTGGCAGCAAAGGGACAGAAGCTCTAAGACGCTTCTGAATAATTCAGTTTGGGCTCTCCCGAGCTCTCCCCTCTTTGCAGGCGACAGTAGTTGGAGGCAGAGGCAGATGGGGAAGTCAGAAAGACCCCGCGGCCCTCTTTGCCTCCAGGCTCCCGGCCCGGTGCACCCGGCTCCCGGGCCGCGGGCAGACGCCTGGCTGCGGCACAGGACAGACCCGCGACAGCACTGCCGCTGGTCCTGGGCGGGGCCCCCGCGCCCCCCCCTCCCCGCCCCCCGCCCCCCCCGCCCCCGCCCCGCCCCGGGGGGGGGGGGGGGGGGGAGCGGGGAGGAGGGACTTTTATTCCCGTTTAGTGAGACGCTTGCCAAGGTCGCGTTACTCTGTCGGCAGAGCTGGGCTTCAGATGCAGGCCTGCCTGGCTCCTGTCCCCCCACGAAGGCCGAGCAGGCCCCTGCCGGGTGGGAGTTAGAGGTTCGGGCTGGCGGGGAAGGGGGAGAGCACGGGAAACAGTCCTGACGCTGGAGTCCTGCCCTCGGGGCCCGCGAGTGCCAAGATGAGACACAGGAGCCCGGTGGGCTGGGTGGGGGGAGGTGCTGAGAGCTTCTTATCTTCTTGTGGAGTGCTGGGGGGAGGGGAGCACAGCGCTGCAGCCCTAACGTCCGAGCACGTGTGCCCTGGGGACACTGAGAGGGCTCGGATGGGCCACCGGCCCGGGGCATGGTCGGAATCCCGTTTTAATTACGAGTGATTAGTGGATGTTCCTTGGAATCCCTGCTCCTTCCGAGAGGCTGTGCGGGAGCCTGTCCTCGGTCGTCACGTGGCAGCACGGCCGTGAGTTTGCACTTGCCGGGCCCCCCCCCCCCCCGCCCCCGGGCTTGGGAGCGCAACCCCGTCTTACAGATTCTGAACGGTGACGCACACGTGTGAAAACGTTTTACAGGTACGTTCCTGAAACGTCGCTGAGTTCACCGCCTTGGCCAGAAATGGTTCTGCCAGACCCAGCTGAGGAGACCAGACAGCACGCAGGTAACAGGGGCAGAGGCTGCAGGGCGGTGCCCCCCTCCCTGACAGAGGCGGTCACCTGGCCGCAGACAGGACGTCGCGTGGCCGGGCGCTCTGAGGCCCAGTGTGAATGCTCAGGCCCATTTTCGCCACCGAGCACAAAAAGTTAAACCGTCGTTCACTTGGCAAATGCTCCTGAGCACCGAGCACGTTCAGGGCAGGCTGCGTAAGAGGGAGGGGCCCCCGGGGCCATCCGTGCTTCCCGCCGCTGGTAGGAGCACAGGGTCAGGGACAGATCTGTCTGCGATCAGAAGAACAGGGTGCACAGTGGGCAGCGGGAGCCCGTGCCGTCCTGGGCGTTGGAGAAACCGTCGGGGTGTCGGGACGGGCGTCCGCCCGGGGCTTGTGGCCGTGAGGAGGGACGGTGTGGCCGGCCGCCGTGGCTGCCATGAGGGAGCGCGGCACCCTCGGTGTTTTTTACAGAGCTAGACACGCAGGGTAGCAGGTGGCGTCTTTTGAGATGCCACGCCAGCTAAACAGCGTCCTGCCCTTCCTCGGTGCGGCTTCCGGCCTGGGCTCCGCTGTCAGGGCAGGAAGGATGTCTTCCTCCCCTGCGCACCCAGCCCCGCACAGGCTGGTGGGTCAGGGCTCCACAGGGTCTGTGACCCGAGCCGGGGCAGCGGAAGCAGGGAGCCGTGTGGGCGGAAGCTTCCAGGTAGACCCCAATGCTATGCGGCATAGTTCTAGCTTTTCCTTACCTGCAAAACAGTCTCTCCTTTCGCTTTGCCAGTCCTCTGGCCTTTTCTTAGTAAAGATGGGGAATCAAACAGGGTGAAGGTTTGTCCTCCCCAGAGTCAGAGAGACAGTGCTCAGGCCAGAGCGGGGTATCATATGGGGTTGGGGACTTGGTCTGGAAAAGCCCCACGTGCCCCGAGTGCCTGTGCTCCTGGGAACAGCGGGCTGACACTGCCCGCAGCAGGGAGAGGAAGCAGCCCCCCCGGCTGTGAGCTCCCCTCTCGAGGGTGCCAGCTGCCGGGGAAGCTTCCTGTCCCGCTGAGAGGGAGCAGGGGCCACGTGGTCCTGTACCACGGTCACAGCGGCTGGGGCCAGGTGGGGTGGAGCGGCTGCCGTCCCGGTCATGAGTAGCCGACCGACCCGGCCCGGTCCTGACTCTCCCTCTCCCCCCGCTCCCCCCTAGAGGTTGTGGGAAAGGTGAACGAGATGATCGCCACCGGCCAGTACGGCAGGCTCTTCGCCGTGGTGCACTTTGCCAGCCACCAGTGGAAGGTGACCTCCGAGGACCTGATTTTAATTGACAGTGAATTAGACGTCGCGTGTGGGGAGAGGATCCGGCTGGAGAAGGTGAGACCGTCAGTGACAGTCACCAGACGTGCCATCCCGCTCCCCGGGCGCATCACTGGGGAGGCTCCCTCAGGTCGGCGGGTGAAGGCAAGCATACCCGTGGGGCAGGACAGCAGCATCCTCCCGGGGGTGGCAGGGGGGGGGGGGGGGGCCGCCCCCCCCCCCCACCCCCCCAGGAGACCCTGTCACAGGGAGGCAGGCAGCACGTTCCGCAGAGGAAAGTATGTGTGCTGATTCGTCTCCCGTCTCCGTGACGTTGCTCCCACGGAACATAATGGGCGTCCAGGTGAACACGTAGACTTTCAACCCCATGTTACGGGAGAAATGTTTCGGCTGGAACACCGCTCTGGCCTTCGAATCGATGGCTGCTGCTTTTTTTTCTTTTTTTTTTTTTTTTCAATATTTGAGAGAGACAGCACGTGCATAAGCCGGGGAGAGAGGGAGAGAGAGAATCCCAAGCAGGCTCCACACTGTCAGCACAGAGCCCGACGTGGGGCTCGATCTCACAAACCATGACATCACGACCTGAGCCAAAATCCAGAGTCAGATGCTGAACAGACTGAGCCCCCCCACAGGCGCCCCTGATGGCTTTTAAACAGAGAGGACTGGATTCAGAGGCACTTCCCTGAGACTGATTGATCTTGCTGGCCGTTCTACACCGCTCCGTCTGTGAACTTAGCGTTTCTACCCATCACTTAGGATTCTGTTTGCTGTTTTGGGCGGCTCTATTTGTTTTTGGCCTGTTCTACTTATAAAAGTGTGTAAAATCGAAGTTCTCTGCACTAGGTCATTTCTGTAGGATAGGTTTAACTGTTAGCGTAACGTACCATAACACGTGTGGTTTTTTCATTAAGACTTCTTCCTTTGTGATTGCAGACTCTTTATGTATTACACCAAGCAGAGCATTAAATTCTGTTTCTAGGAAGTTCTTCTCCCAGCCTGTGATCTGAGCCCAGAGCTGGACTAATTAAGTGTTTTGGACATCAGCAACCCTCAGAACTCTCCTCTCCTTAATGACACAGTGGCCGGTCATGAGCCCGTGAGCACGAGTGGGTTTACTCTGTGATGTCTAAAGTAACGGGAGCCTTTAAGAGTGTATCTGTGAAGGCTTCTAAAAAGGCTTTTTGCTTTGTTTTGTTTTTTTAACAATCTCTATACATGGAACTCGAACTCGCAACCCTGAGATCAAGACTCACACACTTGACCGACGGAGCCGGCCAGGCACCTCCCAAAGACATTGTTCTCAAACACATCACATTAACATAGACGAAAGCCTCATGTTAACATAGACGAAAGCCTCACCTAACGTGGGTTGTTTATCCCTAACTTAGGAAATCTAGCCTCTGGGAGCAGGAAACACATCGTCCTTGAAGTAACCGTGAAAGTTTTTTGATTGTCATCGTTTGGCATAAAGAGCCCGTTAACGCTGCTACAAAAGTCGCTTTTTGCCTTTAGATGTTTAAGTTACATATGCTCAGGTATTTTTCTTACCAGTCAAACTTCAGATGGTTCTCCAACTTCAATAAACACCCCTGCCCTTGCAGCGCAAAGAGGTCATCCTGGGAGGCCACACTTGGCCGTGCCGAGAAAGGCTGCTGGATGGGATTCCGCAGTCCTCAGAAAATACACTTGAACCTGAGTGCGCAGGGTTAGCATTACGAGCTGCTTCAAAAGATGCCGCAGAACGAGGCCCCCGCTGGGCTCAGTCGGTTAAGCATCCGACTCTTGATTTCAGCTCCCGGTTCGTAAGTTCGAGCCCCACGTGGGGTTCCTTGATGGCAGTGTGGAACCCGCGTGGGATTCTCTCTCCCCGCCCCCCCTCTGCCCCTCCCCTGCTTGCTCTGCACTCTCTGAAATAAAGAAGTAAACTTAAGGGGCGCCTGGGTGGCGCAGTCGGTTAAGCGTCCGACTTCAGCCAGGTCACGATCTCGCGGTCCGTGAGTTCGAGCCCCGCGTCGGGCTCTGGGCTGATGGCTCAGAGCCTGGAGCCTGTTTCCGATTCTGTGTCTCCCTCTCTCTCTGTCCCTCCCCCGTTCGTGCTCTGTCTCTCTCTGTCCCAAAAATAAATAAACGTTGAAAAAAAAAATTTTTTTTTAATTAAAAAAATAAATAAATAAATAAAGAAGTAAACTTAAAAAAAAAAGTACCCCAGTATGATTTGTGCATTTTTCTCCTTGTCTATGTCATAACTTCCAATAAAAAGTTAATTTTTTTTTAACGTTTTATTTTATTTATTTTTGAGACAGAGAGAGACAGAGCATGAACAGGGGAGGGGCAGAGAGAGGGGGAGACACAGAATCCGAAGCAGACTCCAGGCTCCGAGCCGTCAGCACAGAGCCCGACGCGGGGCTCGAACCCACGGACCGTGAGATCATGACCTGAGCCGAAGTCGGCCGCTTAACCGACCAAGCCACCCAGGCGCCCCCCGATAAAAAGTTAAAAAAAAAAAAAAAAAAGAAAAGAGCCACCATGTGCACAAACGGTGAACACACAGCCCGGGTGCACAATCACCGGGTCGAGGGCTCGGTTTTTCCTGCCCCGGCTGCCGCTCACCAGCTCCTGAGCGGCTCCCGTCCCAGGGACCGACTCATGAGGTAGCCTGGTCGGCGGCATGCCATCGGCACACTGTCTCAGTCTCCAGGGCGTTCGTGTCGCCGCCTGATCGACGAGCTCTGGTGTCACTTGCCGGTAACGTGTCTGTTTCGCTCCGCAGGTGCTGTTGGTGGGAGCCGACAACTTCACGTTACTTGGCAAGCCGCTCCTCGGGTAACACGCTCGCTCACGCTGGCTTTGTCCGGGACCCACGCGGGCCACCGCAGGGTCGCCAGGCAGAGGATCCCTGGACCACAGCGTTGTCCCGTTAACTAACTTACTACAGCATAGGCCCTTACGATTTGTTGACGGACTATGCTGCGATCTTCTTGCTGGTTTTTTCTTTTTGTTTTGTTTTAATGTTTGTTTATTCTGAGAAAGAGAAAGAGGGAGAGAGGGTGCATGCATGCGTGCAAGCAGCGGGAGGGGCAGAGAGAGGGAGACAATCCCAAGCAGGCCCCTTGCTGTCGGCTCAGAGCCCGACGCAGGGCTCGAACTCAACAAACCGTGAGATCGTGGCCTGAGCCAAAATCAAGAGTCGGGCGCTTAACCTACTAAGCCACCCAGGCGCCCCTGTTGTCTTTTTTTCTTTTCTTTTTTTTTTTTTTTTTTAAAGTAAACTCTACCGAATGTGGGGCTCCAACTCACAACCCCAACATGAAGAGCCATGTGCTCCACTGACTGAGCCGGCCAGGCACCCTGATGCTGTTCTTTTTTTATGGTGTTGAATTGTATAATTCACATACGACACGGCGTTCGTTTTAGGCGTGTGGTACCTTCATGCTTTGCAGAGTGCACGCCCCCCACGGGCCTGGTCACCGTTTGTCACCACACGAAGCGATTACAGCATTATTGACTGTATTCTCTGCTGTAGTCACGTCCCCATGACTGATTTATTTCATCACTGGGAGTTTATCCCTCTTCACTTACTTTGCCAGTCCCCCAGCCCTGTCCTTTCTGCACTGATCTTGATCAGGCTGCTATGTGCTTTTCAAAATGTCTGCAGGGAAAAAGACATCTCACTTTTATAACGCGCACACACACACACACAACAGTAAAACTTCATTTTGGAGATTCTTATATATAAAGCATTAGTAAGCTTAAAAAATAATCAAAAGGACATTGTCTGTCTTGTAGAAAGGATCTCGTTCGGGTAGAAGCCACAGTCATTGAAAAGACAGAATCATGGCCAAAAATCAATATGAAATTTCAGAAAAGGAAAAACTACAGGAAGAAGAAAGGTGAGCTAGAGAAAGTGTGGCTGGCACCTCGTTCGTGCTCCGCCGGGGTACAGCGGCCACACCCCGGGGAGGGAGCTCTGCCCGGCCTCACAGGTCTGACGGGGACGGACAGGTGCAGGGGTGCAGAGGGAGGGCCCGGGAGCCTCAGGCTCCCCTCAGGTGGCACGGGGTGAGGTCAGAGGTCGGAGAGGGAAGAAACAAAGCCCACCGAGGACCAGGGGGAGCCGCGTGATGACGGTTCGGGCAGCTTGCAGCGTGAGGACGACGGGACAAGGCAGGCCCTGACCCGCGGTGGCCGACCGCCTGAGCCGCGCAGGGAGGAGGCACCCTGGCGCGGTTGGGGAGACCCAGGGTGGAGTTGGGAGCAGCGAGTCTGAGGGGTGACTTCACAGCAGAGACCTCACTCGTGCGTGTCACCTGTGCGTGTCCCCCGCGTGGGTGCACGGGCAGGGGCTCGTGAGCAGCACGTGAGGGAACAGAGGAGCCGCGGGGTGGGCTCAGCGGCCAGTGAGCGGGAAGGGGAGCGGAGGCCTCATCCCGGGGCGTCTTGGAGCGCGCTGCAGGAGTGTTGCAGAGGGTGCGATGCGAGGGGTCAGGAAGGCGAGGGCGTCCCCTGAGCGAGGGCAGGAGGCCGGCTTTCCCCGCCCAGCCTCTTGGTGTGGGTGCCGGGCTCCACGCATCCAGGGTAGAGGGCACCGGGGCACCTGGGCTCACAGGGAGGAGGCCCCAGGCTGGAGGAGACCCGCCTGGGTCTCAGTCCAGCTGGCACTACCCACTCTCTGCCCCCCCCCCCCCGTCCTGGGGGAGCGCCCAGCCGAGGCCTGGCCCGTGCCGCCCCGTTCTTTTTGACCCCCACACGTCACCCTTCTTTGCCCCAGTCCACGGCCACCTTCCATTGCCCGGTTAACTGACAGGGTGGGGGCTCCTCGTGGCTGGGACGCGCGGGCTATGGAATGCCGCCCCCGGGAGCGCATAGCACCCACGGTCCTTGGTGACGCCGTAAGGGCTGCCTAAGCTGTTCATAGTGGGGAGTCCCTAAAATATCCCGAACCAGTAGGCCGGCCTCCCCGCAGGTCAGGCCAGGAGGAGCCTCTCCTACACTCTGCCGCCATCAGGGAGCCCCAGGTTCGGGCAGACGGACCGTCCGCCCCCAGGCCAGGACGCTCCTGGCCTCCAGGCCCTGGTGTTGCTGTGTCTGATGGTGCCCGTGGGCCGTGTGGGCAGAGAGGAAAGCACCCGCCGTGACGCGCTCACGGCAGGTGGCCGCTGGGGCCCACACGTGCCTGCCGCCTGGGGAGAGCCGGTGTGAGGCCAACCCCATGGAAAGTTCGGGTGGCCCAACAGCAGGGTTTCACTATAGCTCACGAACAGCGGCAGAATCCGTGGCCGAGCGGTGACCCTGTTGTCTGTCTTTTCCAGTTATCGTGAACCCACAGACTGTCCTCCGGGTGAACACCATTGAGATCGCTCCGTGTTTGTGTTGATCGCGAAGCTACTATTTACAGAGTATAAAAATAAACTCCCGTTTTCCGGAGACCGGGTTTCTGAGTTGTGACGTAAAATCTCCACGTGCCCGTGACAGGCCATTGTAGCTTGAACCCCCGTCTGTGAGCATAGTTTTTTAAGCAGCCAGCCTCCCGGAGCCAGAGAAGCCTGGAACTCGGGAAGAATTACAAGCACGGCCCTCCCGGGGCTGCAGCCTGGAGGCTTGTGCAAGGGACACTGTGCTTCTCTTGGCTGTCCTCCACCCCAGCGCAGGCGGTGGGGCCCGAGGGTGTGGAGGGGGGCGCAGCCGGGACCCGGGAGCCCACGCCAAGAGAAACAGTCCGGCTTCCACTTCTGGGCAAGGTGGGTGGACAGAAAGCGAGTGGACCCCATCTCCGAGTATACCTGTGTCTAGTGATTGGGTTTTTCAAGAAGCTGGGGTTCGAACCTTCTGGGCCCAGAGTCCCTGTTCTTGTCCTTTGCTCTCGGTCCAGCAGGAAAGGAGGGTTGCGGTGCAGGGAGGTGGCGCTCTCACCAAGGGCAGGGCAGCGGGGACGGGAGGAGGGACAGTGGGCAGCCTGGAGCCGTGAGGGGCGGGAGGGGTTCCCAAGTGGGTCCTGGAAGCAGCCGCCTGTCCCAGAAGCCTTTGGGGCCGCCCAGATCTGTGTGCTGGGAGTCAGGCCAGCTAACCCCCCAGGCAAGGAGGGACGACAGGTCCTGAACCCAAAGTGGGCCCGGGACAGGGGGAGCCAGTGGGGGAGAGGGGCTCTCCGATGGCAAGGTCCCCTGTTCTGTGTCCTTCCCGGAGGCAGGGCCTTCCTCCCAAAGAACAGTTAGGGCTTGTAAGTCGCACAATACAACCTTTTGTGGAACCGGGGTGAATGCTTTCTTCGGCAGGAGTCCTGGGGAGTTGCTTGGGGGGTCGGGGAGTCATGGTGGGGGGGTAGTCGCCTGTCAGGTCCTCCCTGCAGGGGGGTGGGCAGGGGAGGGAAGGAAGAAGACAGTTCTGTAGGCGGAGGTCCCCCCCCCCCATGCCGGCCACCCTTGGGGGGCTCTCCCTCCCGTAGTGCCCTCCGTGCACAGCAGGGGGCGCAGCCCTGCAGGACGGGGCCGCGCAAGTGGGCAGCAGGCCCCCCCCACCCCCCACCCCCATGATGCTGGGTGTGAGGGGTGGCGGGAGCCAGCCCCGGAGCGTGGGGTGCACTCCCGCCGAGGCCACGCCAGGAACTTCTGAGGACCGTCCTCGTGCTGACACAGTTGAGGACGGGATCCGCCTTCCACGTTCTTTGCCTTTGGCGCATCCACGCGCCGGGACGCGGAACGGACTCCGGCCGTACCGCTCAGCTCTGGAGCCAGACGGAGCCGGGTATGCGGTGCCCGCCTCGCTGGACGGCTGTGAGGACTCGGGTGACAAAGAAGTGACCGCGCGCACCACCTAGAAAGAGGCGGAACCCCCGCTCCGGGGAGCTGGCCGGGTACCCACAAAGCACTGAGCACTGAACTGGACGAGGCCTGTTCACAGTAGCCAAAATGCAGAAGGAACTCGTGTCCGTCAACAGGTGGGTGGATAGATGTGGGCAGTGGGCACACAGTGAAATGTCGTACAGCCCTAAAAATGATGGGGCCCTGACCTGTCACCACACGGGTGAACCTTGAGCACCCGATGCTGAAAGCCACCAGTCGCAAAAGCACACAAACCGTACGACTGCACGTGTATGAAACGTCTAGAATTTGCAAATCCGTAGAGAAAGCGTAGAGGTTCCCGGGGGCTGAGAGCAGCGGGGAGGGGACGGGGAGTTCTTGCTGGATAGGTACAGGGTTTCTGTTTGAGGTCATGGAAAAGCCTGGAAGTAGACGGCAGTAATGGCTGCACACCATTGTGACAGTCATTAATGCTCCCGAACTGTCGCTTGAAAATGGTTAAGATGGTAGGCCCCCGGGTGGCTCAGTTGGTTACGTGTCCGACTTCGGCTCAGGTCATGATCTCGCGGTCCGTGAGTTCGAGCCCCGCGTCGGGCCCTGTGCCGACAGCTCAGAGCCCGGAGCCTGCTTGGGATTCAGGGTCTCCGTCTCTCTCTGCCTGCCCCTCCCCCACTCCTGCTCTCTCAAAAATAAACAAGCATTTTTTTAAAAATTGAAAAAAAAAAAGATCCACATCTGTATTTTTGCAGAGTGAACTTTTCCTTACAGGCCCTTCCCGACAGCTGTGCCGTTCTGGGGCGGAAGCCACGCCACAGGCCGCCCCCCGGGGTTGGTAGGGCGCTAGGGGGGCCGCAGCACCTCCCTGCTCCCCTAGGCCAGCTTTCCGTTCTTTCCACGGGGTCACCTTGCAGCTCCAGGAACAACGGGGGGGGGGGGGGGGGGAGGAGGGGAGGGGTGTGGCCAGGCACCTGCCTGCCTCACCTCCCTTTAACCCAGGCCCCTGCTCCCTCCACCCACCTTGGCCTGCAGAGTCCGCTCACCCTCTCAGAGCCTCCCAGCGGATCCTGGAATGTCCTGAGAACGCGGTGGGGGGGCAGACTAAGAAAAGCATGAAAGGGGACACTGGGAGGCAGGACAGCCCAGGGGTTTGGCACAAGGGCTATGAGTCCCGCCCTAACCCGCAGGCCCGGCTGCGAGGGATCTGCGTCTTAGCTCGGAGGGGGCTGCCAGGCCATCTCATCTCAGGAGGACCCTGCCCTGGGTCGCTGTCCACTCCCTGTCTGCTCCCCGGGGTCAGCACATGTGTATTTATTTGTGCCGGGTTTCTCACTGGCCTTCCCCCCTCCCTGGACAGCCAGCTCCAGGATAAGGATGAGATTCTGTGTTACTCACCGGCGAGGCTGATGACCCGGGAGGTTGTGGAGGAGATGGGGCCCAGCGTCTACGGGAGCCACGGAAAGACACAGCCCTGGAAGCATTAAAGTGCAGGTGGGACTCGGTGATGTCTACAAGGGTCAGCCAGGGGGACGCCTGGGTGGCTCAGTGGTTGAGAGTCCGGCCTCGGCTCGGGTCGTGATGGCACATTTGTGAGTTCGAGCCTCGCATCGGACTCCGTGCTGACAGTGCAGAGCCTGCTTGGGATTCTCTCTCTCTCCCTCTCTCTCTGCCCCTCTCCCACTCATGCTCTCTCTCTCCCAAAATAAATGGATGAACTTTATATATATCAAAAAGAGTATACTTGTCTTAAACTAAACTAAAGTGGTGCCCACGGAGCTCACCTGTCTGCACATGGCTCCGGGAGCCCAAGGCTCAGAACCTTTCGTCCCGGCATCCCCACACCCAGGGCCTCAGACACCTGGGCCCGAGGACCGCTTCCGTGGAGGCGGGCACAGCAGCGGCCGCAGGAGACGGGAGCCAAGCAGCTGGAAGGCTGGGTGCACTTTGACCCGCTTCCTGTGCAGCCACACGGGAGGGACTGGAGACACAGAAACCGAGGCCGCCTGACGTCCTTGAAAGACGCCCTCCAGGTTTCTTCTTTCTTTCCTCCTGCTGAAGGCCGCCACGACAGGCAGCGCCCCGCTCTCGGCAGGGCCAAGGGGTCTGGGCTCCATGTGCGGAACAGAACTGCAAGGTGGGGGTCTTACCTGCCCCCAGGCTCCTCACCAGACCTCAGGGTCAGCAGTTTAACAGGTTGTCTCTGGGAATGATCTCTGAGGGACAGAGCCCATAAATAAATAAACATTTTTTTAAAAATTTAAAAGGATCATTTTACTTATTATTTTTTTTAGTGCTTGTTTATTTTTGAGAGAGAGAGAGAGACAGAGTGAGAGCAGGGGAGAGGCAGAGAGAGGGAGAGAGACACAGAATCTGAAACAGCCCAAAGCGGGGCTCGAACTCACTAACCACGAGATCATGACCTGAGCCGAAGTCGGACATTCAACCCCAATGAGCCACCAGGTGCCCCAATTTCTTTCTTTTTTTTTTTAATGTTTTCCAATGTTTATTTGTTTTTCAGAGAGAGAGAGAGAGAGAGAGAGGGCAGGTGAGGGGCAAAGAGAGGGGCGTACAGAGGATCCAAAGTGGGCTATGCTGAGAGCAGACAGCCCATGCGGGGCTCAAACTCATGAACCGTGAGATCATGACCTGAGCCGAAGTCGGATGCATAACTGACTGAGCCCCCCAGGCGCCCCGAGGAAAGACTCTTCTCACAGGAGGATGCAGTGCAGACATGTGGCCTCTCGTGATTTGCCTGCCCTTCCAGGGAAGCCTCTACTGAATTGTCAACCCCATACTTTGAAATGAAACTGGTATTTCCACCGATAAGGAATGTTTTCCTTAAGGAGACCTTCCAAGTCTCCGAAGGAGCCTAAGGGAACTTGTTCTCCTGACCAGCCTGATGCCCAATGTGAAAGCCAAGTATGTCTCCTTCTGCACACGCCCCCAGCCCCTCCTCTGTCTGCTGCCCGGGACTTCCTGGAGCTCAGCTTGGGGAGTTCTCTCTCCTGGAATGTTTGAACTGGGGGGGAAAAAAAATCCTAGGATGTTAAGAGAAGATTCTAGAAGTGGGGCTATTTCAGGGGGCAGGATCTGAGACCAGGGTTCAGAGCCCTCCCTCACCCCAGAAAATTCCCTTCCCCCACATCACCTTTCCCTCCCCCTTAAAGCCCACCTGTTTTTCCCCCGGGGCCCTCCCCAGTTATATCAGATTTTTATTTTTAAATTTTTTTTTCAACGTTTATTTATTTTTGGGACAGAGAGAGACAGAGCATGAACGGGGGAGGGGCAGAGAGAGAGGGAGACACAGAATCGGAAACAGGCTCCAGGCTCTGAGCCATCAGCCCAGAGCCTGACGCGGGGCTCGAACTCCCGGACCGCAAGATCGTGACCTGGCTGAAGTCAGACGCTTAACCGACTGTGCCACCCAGGCGCCCCATATATCAGATTTTTAACATCACTGTACGAACGACACGTAGCATTAATGAGTTTGCCGCGCTCACTCTGCAGGGGCCGTATGGGGTTCTCTGGTGGGATTCCTCCACCGCCTCAGGACAGGTGACCCTGTTCAGAGTCCCAGCTCTGATGGGCAAACGACTTCGCCTCCCGAGCCTCGGCCAAATGGGGCCACAGTG